GTACTACTCTCTCTCTCTCTCTCTCTCTCTCTCTCTCTCTCTCGCTTCGGACATGGTGTCAATATTGGATTTTGGTCTTTTATAGACGGGATCATTGTCAATTCTTGGAGCAGTAAGGAGCAAGCAAAGCTCGCATACTCACTGATATCACATTGTCATTCTATCTTAGTTGAGACATGGTTTTTTATCTCAGCAGTCATTTGCATTACGTTATGACAGTTGCAGTGCACTGCTAATCCAATGTTTCTTGCAAGCTCTCTATGAAGGTGGTTTATCATTTCTTGGACGAATGAGTGTAATGTTAAGTTATTGTGTTCACAATGTTGCCATGTCTTCATAGTTCAAGGTGGCATATCATTTCATAGGTTGAATAAGTGAAATGTGGAGTAAATATTGTCTGTTTACACGTCTTCATATTTTTTACAAAGTTTACAGCCAGAGATGAACATCAATAGTCGTGCTAGATTAAATCTTTGGAAGTGGCTAATCATTCTATGTATAGGACGTGAAATTTTGTGTGATTTTTTTTTTGGTGGGGAAATCTTGGTTGACTGTTCAATGTATTTGCATCCCATAATTAGAAGGCTTTTTTCTGAAGTTATTAGTCTGATACAGACATCCATGCTCTCTGCATGTCGATATTTGTACATAGGCTTCTGGAAAACTCTCAAAGATACTCGTATCTGTTATTTTGTAATAAATATAGTGATTTTGTTTACTGTTTAGGTTGTGTATGGTCCATTTATCTATTGTGTATGGAAGTTATTCTCTCTCAGCAATCAAATTAATTAACATAGATACCTCAGCTGAGACTTCCCTGAAGCTCAAATGTGATGCATCCAAGTTTTAAATTTTTAATTCACCCTGCGTATCAAAAAATGAAATAGGGGTATTTATCAAAATTCCATGAGAGATATGCTATTATCACTTTACACATATTGTTTGATTTTATTTCAAATTACCCGTGAAAACACATGATCATGAGTTGGGATGGTTTCAAGTGTGTTTAATGGTTTGTTGCTAATTCCCCCTCCCCCCAAACAAAAACAAAAAAAAAAATTTCCATAGCTCTTCCATGCTCATTATTACACTCTGCAGAGAGAGGTGTAAAACTGAGTTTTAAAACTTTTAGCCTGACCACTCCTCTGATTACTCACTGCATTTTAGAAACGCCAATATTGACTGGGAGACTAACTATAACCTTCTTGGGAAATACTAGAATTGTGTACTATGTAGCACTTTCTATTTGCCGCTGTATATTATCTTCTTTTTCTATTCTTGTTTATTTGTTCAGTAGCAAGGCATTGTATAGATTACAGAAATGCCTGAGCATGTCTTATACGTGGCTTTTTGTATATGATATTCAGCAGTTTTATTTGGAGTTGCATGTTGAGGTTGGACCCCCTCTTAGTTATTCCCTGAACTTCCTCTATATAGTTGTTCATTCTTTATGAAGTTTAGCGAAGACTTGCTCGAAGTCATGTTTCAATGTTGCTAGAATGGGAAAAGTTGATTCTACTGATGATCTGAAATTTTCTCTATCTTTTCTTGTTACATGAGTTTAGGAAACTGAGTAGTTATACTTAAAAGCCAATAAACAATTAAGTGGATTCTGCAATATATATGGTGAATCTATTGAACAAAGTATTATGTACGTAAAGGCTGTTTCCTCATGTTTATGTGTTAAATATTGAGGGCTTGCAACCATATTTTCTTTGAGATCTTTGGTTTCTTCAAGAAAAAGAAGTCTATCTTAGTGTTTCAAGCTATAAACTACAAAAAAATATCTCTCCACAGATTGATATTTCTTACTCTGGCTATAGCTTAAGTTGTTTCTGTTACATTTTGTGACCAGAAAGTTTATATATATTTCAATTTAAATGATGGAATTAATTGTAAAATGGAAGACTGAAATGGTTTTGTAGATGGAAGAAATTGAACTGATACTTGAGTAATGGTTATTTCTTTTTGTCCTTCGTTCCTCTCTGTGTTTTATTCAGGTTACATTGGTAAAGAGTGTTAATGACGCCACTGCTAATATTCCTACTTGGGATGATGGAAAGTAACAGAGAAGAAAAATACCTTGGAAAGCAGATAGCTTGGTATGTAAATTTGGCTACTACAGTTCTATTCATAAGACTTAAATATCCGTTGTTATTCCTTTTAAACAGAAATTTTGATTTTCTGTAAATATTTAGTTCAAGCTGCCAGTGCTTGAAAGCGACGTAAGAAATGTAATAAAGTTGGATTGTCGTGGTGAATAATCTCTGCGCGATAGGCCTGCACAATTGATATCTCTCAATGATGAAGTCTGTTGCTTCATGAGTTGATAAAATGTTGAACTTGTCTTAAATGAAAACCTTCGAGTGCTTCACACATTTGATTCAATACATGGAAATTTTCAACAGTGATTACCCCATGGACATGGTGTTTCTATACCATATTGAATTATAGTATGGTTTCCCATTTTGATGAAAACCTAGCATCCTTAATGCTGTCTAGTGATTACAGTCTGAGTTTACATGTTCTTTTCAAACCTTTGGGTTTTAAGGGCATGTTCTTGCCTGCACAATTGGGGAAATACAAACTACAAAGACAACAATCCAGTTACCATGTAATATGACAGTCAATTCGTTTGTCATAAGCTAGAACTGCCAGTTACTTGCAGGTCAACTATTCCTTTCTAGCCTAATGAAAGTTTTAAACATTTTGGAACACACAGCCTTTTGGAACATTATTAATTTTAACCATTTGTATTTTTATGGGGAGAGGGCAAATGGAGAGAGAGGGAAGCATGAGGTGAAGTCTCCCTTTAAATTTATTAGGTTCACATTTTTGTCTAGCTATTTTGAAATGGCAAGGACATCTTGTCCATATGTTGATGAGTTTGGAGTGTTTGTGAGCTTGATGGTTGGTAGAAAATTGAAAATCCTTGGACAGCCCTTGAGGGGATTTTTATGCTCGTGTTTGGACTTGGAGTGTTTGTGAGCCTGATGGTTGGTAGAAAATTGGAAATCCTTGGACAGCCCTTGAGGGAAATCCATAGGTTGGTAGGAGGATTTTTTTTATCTAAAATATTGGGATCCACTTTAGAATTGCCACATGGGTAATTACACATAAAAAAAAAGAATATTTTGAGTTTCTAAACATTTAGACCTAATCATCAAAACATTGGATGGTCTTTGTTCAATATTAAGGACTTAATTTTTTTAGGCACATACATTTTCAAGTTTCTAAATATTTAGACCTGACCATCAAAAAATTGGACAGCCTTTGTTCAATCTTAGGGCATTAATTTTTTTTTAGGCACATATAGAGACTCAGTACAACACTGGTTAGGAGGTGGAGTTAGTTCAAGTGGAAGGCTCAAAAAGAGCAAGGGGTAGGCTCAAAAGGACAGTTGGAAGTAGCGAGAAAAGATATGGGACTTATGGCCTCACTGAGGGTGTAGCTCTAAAAAGGAAAAAATTTATATAAAGCTGAGGCTCTAAACAATCAAATTAGAGACCACCTCAAATATTTCACTAGTAAGAGGTTGTTTTGATGATACCCAAATATCTTCAAATTGGTCAATCTCGTCATCAAGATCCCTGGACATGAAAAAAAATGGATTTCAAGTTTTGGAAATAGTGCATCTTGTAACGCATTTTTGGACCGTCAATTTTCAAGATTTTGAAGTTTTCATAGATCTGCTTGATCTCCGCTATTTTTGAAGCTCTAAAATTATAATTAAAGATGAAAATATATTTTAAGGCTATCACAATGATTTCCAGCACTGAAACTACATTTCTCGACACTATTTGAAGGTGCGCTTTACTTTGATTGTTTAGAGCCTCGGCTCTATACAAACCACCCCCTTCTAAAAATTATATACATATTCAAGCTGGTTTCCATGGCATTCTCCCTCTAGTTTTGTTTGCATCAAGCAAATCTTTGCATGGACTCTTTTTCACCATGTATCAGACATAGATTGACGGATTCCAACCTGTGCCTACATCACATACCCAAATGGTCCATTATTATACATAAAACCAAAACGTCTAGCCTAGAGGTGCATTGCTAACGTTTCTTGCACATCGCATATGTAGCATAGATATGAGGCTTAGACACAAGTTTATTGATGACAAATATTGTTATCTAGCTTTTCACCCGCATGTAACCACATCCTTTGACTTAGATACCAATTTTTGGTCACCTTTTGTAACACAAAGTTTTGGTGTAGATAATGGCAAATGCTGTTGTGAGGGGAAATGTCAATTGGATGGCAGTATTGCATGATGCATTTAGGACTTAATATTATTAGTTTTTAAGTCTCTTGTGATTTGTAAATGTGTACATGGTTTGATATCTTAAAGGTATACATTTTGGACTTTTCTTTTCTTGAGCTGTACCTCTCTTGAATGAAGGGGTAGTCAATCTATACAGGCAAACTTGTTATTTGAGTTTCATGATGATATAATAGTGAACTTGTTATTTGAGTTTCATGATGAAATAATGGTGAACTTGTTATTTGAGTTTCTTGGTGATGTAAGAGGGAGTTGAAGGTAGCACAAGCAAATAATAAATGGTGCACGTAAATTTTTAGGAAATTTATGTACTGACCCAAAATAAATTTTGGAATTAAAAAAGTTCTATATTTTAGGATGTCTTATGGATTTTGGGTTTTGGAATGTAAGTTTAGTAATAGTAGAAGTGGAGAGGAGGAAGTAATTAAGATTGACAGTTAGGAAGTACAAAAAAGACCGCACTTTTGATATCTTCGGTCAATAATTTAGAAAAATGGATAGAATGAGGAAGATGTCGCTCACAGAATTAGAGCTAGATGGACGAAGTGGAGATGGGCAATTGGAATTTTATGTGATCACCGCTTACCAATGAAGCTGAAGAGCAAGTTCTATAGAACAGCTGTGTGACTAGCTTTGCTCTATGGAGCAGAATGTTGGGCAGACAAAAAACTATATATCTATAAAATGAGTACAGCGGAGATGAGGATGTTGAGATGGATGAGTGGCAAGACAAAAAGAGATAGAATTCGAAATGAATACATTTGAAAAAATTTAGGTGTAGCACCAATAGGCAAAATATGAAAGTAGACTTAGGTGGGCTGGCCATATGTGGCGCCAACCCAATATAGCACATGTTAGGAGGTGCGAGTTATTTCAAGTAGAAGGATTAAAAATGGCAAGGGATAGGCCTAAAAGGATGTGGTTGGAAGAAGTCCGAAAAGATATGGGGATTTTTGGCCTCATTGAGGTTATGGCCTTTAATAGAGCAGAATGGTGGACCAGGATTCGTGTAGCCAACCCCAATTTGTTGGGAAAAGGCTATGATGATGATGGTGATGGCTTTTGGTTTTTCTAGTTCCCATTTTACAAACAGTTTAAAAGTCTAACTTCCGAACCACCAAAAACACAAAAGCTTGAATGTTGGACTTTTGAAATGCCCAAAACTAGAAAATACCAAGTGTTTAAGCAGTTCGATATTTGTACTTTTTTTTGTTTTTTTTTTGGGTAATTTAGTGGAGATGACAGGCCCCTACTTGTTTTTTCAATAGATTGGGGAGTTACATTTTGAAAGTGTTAATTCGGTGTGTCAGCGGTAGGAATGGATACTACGAAGTGGTGACTAGGTATGGGGATGCTACCACCACGACTCCAGCCGTTGTCGTTCGATATTTGAACTTTCGAACTGCTCAAAGTACACACAAACATACCAAAAAAAAAAAGCTAGTGTTTGGGTGGTTCTAGAGTTGATGTAAAATGGGAATAAAAAAACCTCCAAAATTTAATGTCCTAAGATATAAACCACTTTTTAGTTCCAAAAGTCATTTTTGGTCTGTACTTTAAGTTTCTCTAAATTTTAGCAATGAGAACGGAGTCCACGGACAAAGGCAAATAATCATGTTAATTGGTTTGTAGTTCACTGAAATGTTAGAAGACGATATTTCTATGCAGGCATTGTTGGTTATCTTTGTTTATATCTCAGTATTCTTAGTTCTGAAATTTATGAGAAAAATCAAATAACTATATTTAACTGTCATCACATCATCTCCCACATGTTTGTTCTCTAAATTATGCTTTCATAAGTGATCCCATGGGGCTTCACGTAAACTTCTGCATAATGACTTTACATATATGCTTGCAGAAGGGAGAGAGGGGAATCAAGTGGATTCCGAAGTTTGTAGTGTCCCAGAGAGGGGAATCAAGTGGATTCCGAAGTTGGTAGTGTACCCAGCTTGGCAAAAATATGCCCTTTCTGCAGTCTGCAGCTCTACTATCCCTTTCATGTAGTCATCTGTTCCTTTGGAGTTTTAGCTTTAAGTTAGTATGGTTTATGTTAGGTTGTTTCGATTACTTAATTAAATAGAGTTACTGATTCATTTTAGCTCAGGACAATTGAATTGCTGTGGCTGATGATATTTCTGTTTTTTCTTTCTTTACCCCAGAAAATAGTGTTCCTTTGGAATCATAGCTTTAAGTCAGTATGGTTTATGTTTAGGTTGTTTTCGATTACTCAATTAAAAAGAGTTACTGATTCATTTTAGCTCAGGACAATTGAATTGTTGTGGGTGCTGATATTTCTGTTTTTTCTTTCTTTACCCCAGAAAATAGTGTTCTAACAAAGTGGAATTCAGTTGGGAGATGCGCAACATTTGAAGGCCTATTTTGAAACAGGGTTCGCAGAATCTTTGTTGAATCTCAAACAAGGATATCAGAGTCTGTACACTTCCTGCTCAGGATTACTCTGTTCTTTTCCTATGAGGGAAAAGAAAAGTTATAAAACTGAGTGTGAGAAATACTTTTGTGCAATTGCACATTTTTGTACGCAAGTTATATAAAACAATTTTTAGTTATAGCCTTCAGCCCCTGCTGGGGAAAAAATAAAGAGGAAATCTGCGTCCCTCCAATCTTTGCCATATTATGCAGGCTGCACTGATTAATAAGAAAGCTTTCCATACGCCACTAAGCATATGGAATTTATATATGTCATTCTCTTTCTGCCATCGGATCTGAATTTAAGGTTGAGATACTTTCAACTGTAATGTCACTAGTGAGCCCGGGCTGTTTGTTCTAGATTTGATGAATCATAAAAAAAAAAAAGATAATTGGAGTGCTGAAATTATTAAATTGGAGTGTAGGTGTATTTTGGTACAAAAAAAAAAAAAAAAAAAAAATAAAAATATATATATATATATATATATATATATAACTTATGAGGTAGTAGTTATACAGACGTCTCTGTACTATAGAGTAGAGGTACGTACTAATTAGTTAGTAGATGTAGTTCTACGTAAGTAGGTAAT